CAGCAGAAACACGAGATATTTCATGGGTTTTTGCAGGGCCTTTGAGCAGTCTCTTGGGATTCACTGATTTTCACCAATATGTTTGGTAAACTTAATGTAGCGTCGTAAAATGGATCTCCTGGTGGTGACTGTGCTTGAAGGATGTGATATGCTGGCAAGAGTGTCCAGTAACCTTGGATGCAGTTTGGTCAGGACAAATGTAGACTATTAGGCTTTGATAAGAGCAATCAGGTGTGTAAGTAGAAAGTGGATGAGGATTGGACAGGCAGCAGCTCTGCAGAGGAGAGTTTGGTACACAAACTGGTGATGAGTCAACCAGGTTGCAGCATTGCACAAGCTGCAAACATTGTGCTGGGCTGTACAAACAAGTGTGTTGTAAGTCGGACTCGAGAAGTCACCACATTGTCAGGTAGAGCTGAGATAAGCTTTCTTTGCAGAGCCTGGTTTTGGGTACTGTACCTGAGAGATTTTTAGCAGGGAGTGGAGAGATTCCTCAAAGAAAAATTATTTCTCCATCGTGAAGTTTAACATATGCATATAAACTTACAGTTTAACATTTTTTGCGACAGCCCGTCACATATTTGAGGGAGGCAGCTGGGGGAAGAGAGCAAGGGGGAACTACACTGTTTTCCATTCCTTCTGGGAGCAGAACAAGGAGTGTTTCACCTGCACTAAAGGTGGTTGAGCTGTGTGTTGGAAAGATCTTTTGAAATGCATGAGTAGTGAAGGTCTGGATAAGACTACGTGGGGAAGGTTGTGGTAAGAGAGTTTCTTAATAAGCAGGTGTGACGAGCATCTCTTGAGTGCAGTTTCTGTAGAATTGCAGAGAGATTGCTGTGGAACACCAGGTTCTGTTTTTTTCTTGCAGCCCTATTGGGTTCTGTAACCTGAGCCATTGTAGTTGAAGGACAATAAATGCCCAGTGTGCTTGTAAAGTGCCTAAAGCTTTGGTCCCATTACAAGCAAAATCAGACTTTGAACAAGGCGAAGCACTGTTGGTCATAACAGTGGGGCTAAGAGTAGGTGATAGTGGCTTTGTTTTTTGTTGGGAAAGTGCACGTGTGGTTGACTGCTGAGTGCTGAAACCCACAGCTGCTGCATCTGCACCAAAACACATTGACCTCCACTTCGATCTTGCATCCTGAGTGCGTGTCCCTGTCACTATTCTCATTCTTGTTGAGATGCCAGCTAAGTGCTTGCTGTCGTCATTCTTCTCCCCCTTCCTCCCCCTGTCCTGGCAAGTGCCTCCCTTCTTTGCAAGGAAGTCCAGGCAAGGAGCAAGGGAGGGGCAGGACTGTGCCATGTGATGCAGCCTGGGTTTCTCTTCAGGTGCACAGAGCCAGCTTTGACAAAGGTTGTGCTCCTTTAATGTATGCAAGCTGGAGCTTTACATACAGGTGGATTTGCAACAAGCTTTCAGGGCTTCTGTTTTCTGTGCCAGGTGGGTGCCTGTAAAGGACAGAATGTTGCTCTGCAGGCCATACTGACAGTTTGGTTTCTTCAGTTATAGGAAAACGTGGAAAGTGCTTAGTTTTGATGATACAAACAACACTGTCTTGGATACCTCTTACTTTATGATCAGATGCAGGAATAAGTACTTGACTTTTTCCTGCATCACATTTTATTGCTGAGCTATTTGCGTCTGGAAGGGGTATATTTTTGGTAGCAGTACTCTTAGATGAAAAATTGCCGCCACTTAATATTTTGTGGTATAAAATATGCTCAATGTTTTCTTTGCATTTTGTCAGACTTCTTTATTTTTCTCTATAATATTGTAATACATAATGTTTATTTAAATTTTTGTCTTACCCTCTTCTGTTTCAGTCTTATTGGTCATTTTGTTTACAGATATATTTTGATTATTATAGTTATCTCTCTGATTATTGTTTGTTATATCTCTTGCTTCCCAGGAGACAAAGATGGCAGCAAGGTGACTACAGTAGTGGCAACTCCTGGACAGGGTCCTGACCGACCACAGGAAGTTAGCTACACAGACACCAAGGTGATTGGAAATGGATCTTTTGGTGTTGTGTATCAAGCCAAACTCTGCGATTCAGGAGAGCTTGTGGCCATTAAGAAAGTCCTGCAGGATAAAAGATTTAAGGTGAGCCTATGCATAAGTTCAGAGTATTTTCGTTAATGTTGTCTCATTTTCTACATCTTTCATGGCAGTGTTTTTGATTTTTCTTAGTTTATTTTCATTGGAGCACACAAAAATTTTCAGGACTGAAGATGAAACAGATGTTTTATGATAAATGGATATAGTTAACTTCAAAATCAGTGAGTCACTGTTGTTATGATTACTTGGATTAGTGCAAAGCAGAAAGCTAAAAATCCCAATTTGGTGTTGTGCTGTTTCCAGGTTGCAGACTAGATTTTTCAGACAGTGAGCTGTGGGGAAAAAAGGGAAAAGCTTGTCTCATGCTTATTTTTTTTAGCATAAACTCTTTTCCAGCCTTTATTAAACTGCTGGAAGGAACAGAAACCTTTGGACTTTGTTCTTAGTTGTTGCACCTATAAAGTGGATGGCTGTATTTGGGTAAATCAGCAATTCACAAGACCAAGGAAGGAAGATAAACACTTGAGCCCAAAAGAGTTTGGACTGAAGACAAGTTACTTCCCTTTGTAATCTGATTTATAAATGTGATCTATCCTGGTGGTTTTAATTGACTAGTGATTCTGTATTCTAAACAAGTAGCCTTCCAAGCCAGATGATTTCATCTGGTGATATTTAAGCCAAATAAAAGCTAAGGACCATCAGCCAGCTCATCACTGCTCATAGTCCTCTGCTTGGTACTTGATGTGCTTGACTGCTTTAGCTTATTGTCAAGTGGCCTCTGCAGAGCAACTTGTGCAAGCAGTGAATTGATAGGAAAGGTACTGGTTTTAACATTTCTTGTTTTTGCAGTAGGACTTCATGCCCAGGTGTAGCTTCACTGGCAATGTTTGGATTTGTGTCCTGATTTGGTAGCAAAATCATTCTTTTGAAGTGTTTTGAAGGAACTGGTGTGTGCTTTTTCCTTGAGTCTTGAAATTTGATGCTGTCATCACCACAGGCATCAGCATATCACAGATGCATTAGACAACAAATGGAAGAGGAAAGATACATTTAGATTAATGTAGTCATGCAGCATTGTTTACTTCTAATTGAGAAAGGCACCTAAGGTTCTTGCACTGCTCTGACATCTGAGTTATTTCTGGACTGTATTATGAGTTGAAGGTAATTAGTACTTGGGAAGTATTCAATATGATGTAAGAGTGGATTATTTCAGAAGAATGGAAGAGGTAAAGCAGAAGAGGAGGAACAGAAGCTCTAAACCTGAGCCATGCTTAAAGGAGCTTTGTCTCTTCCCATTGCACAGGTTTAAGGGGAGGGCCAGGATATTTCCTGTACCATGTCATTCTTGGTAGATGTCAGCTAGTACTTTGGACCAGAATCCTTGATATCTTTAGTCTCATAACTCTAGGGTTGTGTAGTGTGTCAAATGAAAACTTGGCTGAGCATTTTAGTTCATCAGATATAAATAGTTTGTGATGTCTTAGATTGTTTTTAATGAATCTGGATTGGGCATCTAGAATTAAATGTAGGTCTTTGATTGTTTTTGTTTTGATAATTGGCTCAGTGACATTTTGTTATCTGATTATATATCTTTTTATTTTGGAGCATTTCTTTAAGCAACTAGAAAAAAATTAAATCTCTTGAATATTGGGTCTCTTTTTCTTTAAGGAAAAATAGCTAAACTGAAGAGCTAAGTAAGATGTTTCCAGTTTGGACTCTGAGGGAACATCCAATACCTGGAGGTTCTAGTACTCCTAAACTGGATGTAATAAATGACTAAGTGCACATGTAGATGTGCAGATAGAATTTATAGAGAACTACAAAGTTTTAAAAAGTATTTTTAAATTAATGCTGTCTTTCTTCATAATTTTTTCCTCGTTTCAACATTAATAAATAAACTTCATAAGTGTAAACTTCATGGGTCATATCTGCAGTAGTACCCAAGTTATGCTAAGTTTTCATATTCTTATTTCAAACTTGCATCTCAGCTGCACAGCATCATCTACCTTTGGTCTCAGGTCCCTAGTTTCTTTAATCATTCATCAGTTTAGTCCTCCCTCTTTCATTTTATTTATTTTTTTTCCACATTCTGATCTGGAAGTGTATGTTCCTTTGGCAGGAGGTGTAAATTCCTGCAGGCTGGATGAAAGCCCCTGCCTGGACGGATTTGGAAGCCAAACACATGTATCTTATATCAAGAATAGCATACAATTACTTCAGGGTATGCTACTCTTTGGGAACATCCGATCTAGCTTCTAATTGCTGGACCAGATACTTTACCAGTTGAACAGGGGACTTGGGCTGTCTGTTGGCTGTGTGGGTTGATTGCAGTGTAGAAGCAGAGCAGTTCTTCTGTTCAGAGAGCTGAGCTTTGGTGTGCTGCTCAGCTGGGCTGTTGCTATACCTGCACAGCTGTCCAAATCCAGATCCAAGCCTTGCTAAGTGAAGTTCCACTTCCCTCTCATTAATGCATACCCCTGCTCTGACAGAGAATGAGGAAAACCCAACTGTAGGCAGGCAAAGGTGGCAGTAGCTTGTTTGATTTAAATTAGCTTCATCAATTCTGAGGGAAGAGAAGGAATGCTTTAGAAATACCTCCCTGCACTGGTCCCAGTGGTGGAACAGCAACAAAAGGAAAGTCACGTATGGAGTTGCTTCCTGAAATGTGGATCATCAGCAAAATTCTCAGCTGTATGCTTCAGGCTGGTGCCTGCTTCTCTCTATGCTTATCTCTCCTGATGCATTTATCTTGGGACATGCAGTATAATTCCTTTATTGAGATTTAGCTCTTTAAAAAAATGCTTTTAGAGAAGCCAGCAGGAAGTCTTGAAACTTAAAGGGCATGGTTCAGGAACTTTAGGAAGTCTTCAGAGAGGGTAACTTCTAGGCTCCTTCTGCGTTTTGTGCATGTGGAGGGAGGTTATTGTGTAGTTCTGGAAAATGCACAACAGTTGCCAATCTTAGATCTCTGTCAGGAAGCTGAGATACTTTTATCCAGGTTTAAAGCTAGCTTGAAAGCTGGAATTACCAGAGGGGGGTTGTATTTTTTCTTTTCCTTTTTTTAAATCATTTTCCATTACTATGACAAGTTTCTCGTCAGCCTCTGCTGAAGTGGAAGCAGCACTGGTCCATGCAAGAAAGAAGTGAGTGCAAAATCTTTGTTGAAGAGTTGAATCTTAGTTTCTCTGATGGTAAAGACAGTTTGCCATGCTCCAACCTCTTTCTACTCCCTCGTTACAGTTCAGTGGATCTTCAGCTTGGCAGTGCAGTTTCTCCATGCCCGTGTTTTAAGCAGGGGCTCTGAAGTGCTCTGAATTTTAAAATGAGTGTGTCCAGAGTTCAGTGTAACAAAGAGCAATAGTATTGCTGTTTTAGGGATAGTGACAAATGGTTGAAGGGAATAAATAAAGTAAAATCTAGGCATTTATGCTTAATTTCAGCCTGCAGTTCTGCTGCCTTGATTAAGCTAGTTCTCCATATTAAAGTAAGGAATTAAGTAATGTAATTTTGTGCAATTAGCTGATAGTTAAGCAAGTAGTTTACAAGCTACAAGTGTTTCTCATTAATCTGTGGGACCACTGAACTTCTCTCTAGTCAGTATGGAGGGTCACATTATTAGGGTGATTTTTTTTTTTTCTGTTAACAGTTTAACAGGGGTGAGAGGGAGATATTTCTCTTCAGAAAATAGTGTAAGGCAGCTGTTCACAAGCTGTTGGGACCAAACCCCTTTGAAGTGGCAAAATTTCTGAAAGACCATGTCCCAGCTTTCACCAGTCTGTGCTGTTTCAGCTTCTGTCCCATGGATGCATAAGAGTAGGTTCTCATGCAAAGCATCAATAGGTGCAGTTAAATCATTTATAGTATTTTCAATTATTTTTATCCATGTGTTGGTGCAGGCCCTCAAGTGACACAGCCTAATTGTGATGCTTGAAAAGAAAATACTGGCAGCATAAATTTTCTTACACTGCTTTTGTTGGTGTGATCATTGGAATATTCTTCGCATTAAGAGTCAGTCAAGTCGCAGTCTAATCCTGCTAAAGCCAATAATAAACAAACAGGTCTGTTAGCATAAATAGCTGGTTTTTGTTATTTCTGTCATTCCATTAACATTTTTCAGAAGCCCTATTGGAATGAATATGTGAATTGCTAGAAATATTTCACAGCTGACTGAGAGTAAATACTTCAATTCTTCCTTTCTGAATTGCAGTTCTGGATGTTTCTGCTTCAGTGCTAGGCTGTCGAAATTTAAATGATGAAGAGAGTTCATAATACCTCCTGCACCTTTTCAAACAATCTAGATTGGGCATCACATTTCTTGTTAATGGCTCACATAGGCATGAAGTGTGCAGCAAGAGAAAGCCAAATTATGTAATGGGAACCATTCATGCCATCCAGTCTGTCAAATCGTTCTGGGACTGCCTTGGTTTAGCAGTCCAACCATGTGTGTCCTTGGCTTAGTTGCCTGAATTATTTAAATAGGCAGATCTTCTGGAGTGTGAGAGGATGTCAAATGAGGGCCCTGATGGTCCATAAACGTGAGGCCCTGCATTGGTAAAGCTGAGGCAACTGAAGTAGGCAGTGCTATTTCCTATTTTTAGTTGTGGGAATATGTGTTGTGACTATTGGCACGTTTGTTGTTTCTTTGTTTTGTTATGTTTTAAAATATGTAAAGTCTTAGTGTTAATCTGAGCCTTAAAACCCAGTAAAGCAGCAGGATGGCAAAATAAGTCTATATTGAGGTTCTGGTTTCTTTTTCTCTGCTGGGTGTGTGTGTACTTTTGTGAGCTGTTTGAAATGCTCCTGAAAGAGCAGCAGCTTTCCTTCAGTTCCTGCCTCAAATATATCACGCTGCTAAGTATAAAAAGATCTTTTTTCAAAGTAGCCATATCTGCTGTTTCTGTTAACTTAATTACAGCAACTTTGATCGTGACAGCTGCCATGAAAAATGTAAAACCACAAGGAAGAATTCCCGTTTAAAACGATTAGGTGTTTAGGTTTTTAAGTTCTGTTAACTTTTCAAGAAACTTCTGTTTGAAGCATTCAGC